TTCAGTTGCTGCTTTTTAAAACAAGTGACTGTCCTCTGCTTTCCATGGGAGTTCAGTGTGGTTCAATGATAATGCAGGAAGTATGTTGTACCTCTTCTCCACAACAAAGTGCAAGTCTGCTATTTAGTTTTAAATATGTAAACTAGTAACAAAACATACATAAATAGAGTAGGCAAAAGAAGGCAAGACAAACGTAATTAATTAACTATGAAAGTTTCCCCCTTAAATTAAGATCCAGTTTTTGAGAGAATGAAAAAATGATTGCACCATGGATTGTTTTATTTTGTTTTTAGTCTTCTGCTTCCAGTTACTGTAAGCCTGTATTTTCCTTCACTATTGAGTGTATTAAGGGAAAATACAACTGAGTATCTTTCAGGTACTCATTAGAAGCAGCAATCACTTTTTTAACCTTTGACAGTTAACACTGTGGAATTTAATCTCAGATGTAGCCTTTAGAACAATAAAGGTTAATAAAATCTTGTTGTCAAGGCTCTATTGGTTTCTGTGATGAAACCATTGAAACTTGAAAATTGAGTTCTACAGGTGGAGGAAAGTATAGGAGGGAGAAAAATATTGCATGTGTATGAAATGTAATTCAAAGGCAAGAGAAATACTGAAGTCATACCTAGCTGAGCTGTCCTACTCCATTTATTGATTTATTAAGCAAAGCATTAAACCAGGAATTGCCTATGGAATGTTCAATTTTTATGGATATTCTCAGACATGAAAAAGCATTCATTATGCTCAGCTCTCAAAAAACAAATGCGCCATACAATGCAAACAAAGTTTTTTTGAATAAAAGGCATCTCTTAGTATTTGTTTTTAATGTATTTATTACAACAGCTCAAAGCTTTTGTCTTTTGGGTGTGTGTATGTAGGTATATATGCAAGTATACATGCCAGTAATAATAACTTGTTATTTTTGTGTTATATAATGCAAAACTTGTTTGGTCACTTTTGCTAAGTTTCATAGAATCATCAAATCAACTAGGTTGTAAAAGACCATAAAGATCAGCAAGTCCAACAGTTACCCCAGGACTGCCAAGTCCACCACTAAACCATGTCACTAAGTTTGGGAAAAGCTGAAAAACCTGTCTTTAAGTAATGGTATGGATGAGACACTTGTAACAGCAGGGATATACTCCACCTATTGACAGGGGAAATATTACACCATCCTTTAATTTGAAGTGAGATTACAGTTTTACAACTCCAGAAGAGGGTTACATTGTGATTGCATTAATGTCAGAGCTATGTTGTGATGCTGATCTCTGTAAGACTGCATAGAGGGTAAGCAAATATGAAAGTGAAGCATCAGGTTAGACACCTAAATTATGTTTCCATAGAGGAATAAAATATGTTTAAACATAAACTAGAGCTCTTGGGGTGATAGTTACAAAATAATAACATGTATGGATTATATTTGTGGTATATTCCATGTAGACAAACAGTACCCATGTATGTCTTTATGATGATAGTTTAAGACTGGAATGCCAGGGTTTTGACTGATGAGGTATCATTGCTGCTACTGACAGCAAAGGTTATATTTTTACAGAATGCAGGGTGGTATTTTGATAAATTTATTTGCAAGGAGCAAATGCATGCAGCTGTGCTCTAGACCTTTACCCAGGGAGTGCTGCACTTTCCTCTTCCCCTGTATTATTCACTATTCTTTTCAAGTTTTTCAGTTTCCTTCACTCCTCCCACCCCCATTCATTCAAGTGCTGTTTTCATTTTTTTATTACATACCTGCTAATCACAAAGAATATGCAAATAAGACAGTATTAATATTCAGAAACACTCAATGTGTTAACCTATTTTATTAATAAGATGAAATTGATTATCTTTTAGCAACAGCTAAAATTAAGGTTAGATAATTAAGACTTTCCTCTAGTCTCAGGAAATGATTTTAGTAAAACCATCATGAATACAGGATAACTATTTCCCCTGACTGAAGAAGGAAGGAGGTAAAAAAGCAGGCAACCTGAAGATGACTACTGAATTACTAATACTGCAGGGTTTTTTTTCCAAGTTTTAATTAAAATATTTAATGTGATGGTTAAACTACAAATCACAGTCAGAGATGCACCACAGTTGGTGTTTATTTCCCCATTTTAAGTCCATCTTAAAAGGGAGAGAGAATTTTTGCTCTGTTAAAACAATTGACAGCTGTAGTAAATCTGATCTTTTCAATACCATATAACAATTAAGGATAAACCAATGTTCCTGCTGAAAGCACATTATTAGAAATTGTTTCCTACAGGAAGAGAATAATTGTTCTGCCATTTCTGTTGTGGTTTTTTTTAATAACCTTTTTAAAAAAAAAAGTTTTGTCCCGTTTTCTCACTTTTTTTTTTTTTTTCCCCTTTAGGTCCCCAGATCCTTAAAAGGAAAGTTTAAAAGAGCTGAGAAACCTGTGCTGAACTTTGCATATTAGAGGGGGTGGGACTCATCTTGCATTTAACTCTAAATAGGAGTAATCACCACCATAATATGAGATACCTTCAATATAGGGTCTGTAATGACTTTTCTATATCCCCAGAAGGATACATTACCAGAATCTGCTTTTGGAGCATATCAGTATAAGAGGCAAAACCAAACCCTGGAGGGTATCATAAAGAACTATGAAAGTAGTATCTCTGTACAGTTACATGACAGCAAAGTCAAGAGAAAGATGATGTTCCATGTCCATAGGAGTAATAGTAATCTAAACCATCTCCTAGCAGTTTCTTTAGACTAGTTTGGAACTACAGTAAGGGACCAGATTCAAAAAGCTGTTTTAATTGATTAGCACTTTTACTCACTCATATGCACACATGCCAGAACATAAAGAAAGAGCAAGTTAACAATCTTAGATTTCACCCATTTACCTTTTCTTGGTGTATCTACTGAGAATGACAAAGCTTAGCGTCCTGAATTTTAGTTTCACTGCTTATTAGCAGTACCACAAACTCTGCAATCGGGTTTGATAAAGACACAAAGGAAGTTGTGATACCTACTATGAGGCAATTGCAACCTACATGTATCAGAGGAAGAAACCTCAGTATCATTCTTCAAGTATGTGATATTTTCAGTAAAGCAATCTCAAATGGTAAATGATAAAGTTCACAGTAATATCTATATGAAGTATCTATAATAAAAATGAGTACAGTTTGTCCTTTACCAACAGTATAAACATAAGGTAAAAAAATGCTATGTCAAATCTTTGCATACATAATAGAGATTATAAAAATTGATGTTTATTTTATCCTGACAGTCATTGAACAGTGTTTTTTCTTAAAATAAATAAGATGTCTTCTTAAGATGGCAACAATGTGGACAGCTGCTAATAGGAATAGAGGTAAAATTAATGTTAAAAGCTGTATATCTCAACAGTGCTCAAATGCCTTGGGATCATTTAATATCACTTCCTATGAGTCAATTAGACCTCCAGTTAGAGAAATATTATGTGGTTCAATGTCCATTAGCCTGACAGTTGCAAATTAAGTGCTTATAGTTTATGCACAGTTTAATCCCAGGGTTATGGAAGTGTAGGAGAATGTGAAGGCATTTGTGCCTCTATATGTTTGGAATTTTGATTGACAAACAGTATTTTAGGAATATTCTTACAGTAATAACATAGGTGGCCAAATCTTGTTTTTCTGCAGAGGTTATCTGCTTTGTGGATATTTTAATTGACCTTTTAATTTATTTTGTACAAGGTAATGTACTCCTGGAAAATTGTGAATGCTCTCACTTCCAAGTAATTTTCATGATAAATGATGTAGCTTGCTTCCTTTCAGGAGTGAAAACTTACATTTCAAATTCTAACATAGCAAAAGAGTAAGTTTTGAAAAAATGATCCAGTGTCTAGAGAATGGTATTGGGATTTGAAGTGTCCACATGTCCCTTCTGAATTTAGTCACACTATCACAGGCTGTGATCTTGGGAGAAGATGTTGCAGTCTCTTTCAGATGAAAAGGCAGGGGTATTTTGCTTTCATACCTTACCTGAGTCAAGCCAATATTGTGTTTCAGATAATTTTCTCACTGACTAAATAAGGACTACATTAGTTCCTGTCTCATGTGCAGGGTGGTCAACTCAGTAATGGTTAAGAGATTGTATTAGTGATTTTGTTGTTTCAAAAAAGCTGAAGTCAGTGTGTAGAAGAGCTGTGAAATACAAAAATATTGTTCAAGTCATTGACACAATGAAGGTCAGCACATTGCAAGCTGTCAGACATGCCAAGTGTAATATTTTGACAGAGCAGATTGACATTGACAAAATCTCTGAATGGGTTTTTGCTTAGGAGTTCATAAAAGATAATGGTGGGAAACAGATGTCAGAAGCATATAGATTTTTCTGAGAAGGGAAGAAGAAATATTAAGAGAAATGAAGATTACTTGAGAACAGGTGATCATGAAATTTAGAATGTCTGCAGGCTGACAGCCATAGGAACAGATGGAAATAGAATTCAGACTGAAGTAGAAAGGAAATAAAGTAAAAAAGCAGAAGGTCTTAGAGTTTAGTGCACATATGATCCTCTGTACTATACATATGTAGGTGTGAATACAAAAATAAAAGGAAAAACCAAGCCCTACACATGCAAAGGAACGTGTGGATTAAAATGTTACAGAACTCTATAATGTTCAAGTCAATTAGCCCAATTCTTGCTTGTTTTTCAGATTTCTAAGTGGAGATAAAGCCTTACTCTACTGATGTGGTCCAGAATAAATTACTTCCAAAAGGGAGAACAATGGAGCAATAAAAAAATCCAACACAGTGTCAATACGAGTGAGATTTGCATAATTAGAATTTTGTACAGCATCTAGCTCTATGATCCAAGTTCTCTTGAGCTGCACAGTTACATTGGAGTGATGAAGAAAGGAAGTTAAATGATGTGACTAAGACGAATGAGGAAGGGAGAGGGTTGCCATGTCCCTTGTAGTTATGGTCGTGTGAATATGAAACATTCACAGTTTCCACTGATATTCCTGTATTTGTGGAACTGCTATGGAAGAAGAGAGCTGAAGTACATAAGCCATCAAAAAGACTTACATTGCTGTAACATTCTGATTTTCCATGAGAAAGTCTCCCAGCCCAGTTAAAACAGCAGAAGTTTTAGGATATCAGTAAGCCCTCCAGAGCTAGGTGCCTAACTGCCTCTGAATCTGTAAGCATAGCAGGGTAAGACTAATAGGCTCTTCCTGGTATTACAAAGGCATTTGGAGGTTACATTCATTAAAGGCTGAAAGGTGCGGGGGTATAATCAGGCAATGAGAGCTATGTGGGCCCTTTTCTTAGGTTGTTGCCACCTGGGAGTTAAGAGAGAAACTCAGAATCCTCTGATTTCCCCTGGCCTGTTTGAGTGAGTTTGCAGGTCTCGGTTAAAACTCAAGAGCATAGTATTTAAAAAACCTTGTCATAATAGGCAGACTTGATGGAAGACTCAACAGAAAAGTAAGGATTCTTGTTTCTCTCTTTAAAAAAACCTACTTTTTCTGCTCTGCTAGAAGTGTGCTAAACTGGAATTCTGTGAGCAGATTTCATTTCATTAATCCAGTATAAAAATGTCAATGTGTTAGCTGATTTTATGTGTGTCTCTAAAGTCCTTCCTCCCATTGTCCTTCTCAAATCTGTGAGTCTGTGTTAGCACAATATGACTAATCCTATGTAGGTCAATGGTATTTCAACCAGTTTTTCTCAACATGGGCACATGGATAATTTATATTGTCACAGAAAACAAGTTTTGTTATCCTCCAACAGAGGCGCAGGAAAATTGTGAGGACACAGCTTTGGATATGTCTGCAATATTCAGGTTAACCTATTAATAAAAACTGTTTAGGCTAGCATGCTGCCTTTGTGTGTCTAGCAGAGTGTGATATTCAATACCAGTTACTGGCAGATATGATCAAATTGCAGGTTTTTGTTAGTGACTGCCTCTTTCACATGGACCCTTTCCTATTCTACTTGTTTCTCATGACTACATCTGCTTACTGAAAGTAGTCCTTTATAACTTTGCATTTCATTTAAAACAATCTTCTTGGAGGTCTGTGTGTTCTCTGCATAGGGCAGGACTGAAGACAAACACATCCTGAGTACCCTGTTTTCTTGTATTTAATATCACAGTGATGTGTGACAAGTATATTGTTGAATTATTTGTATGTGGATATTATAGACTTAATAGAGCTAATTACAAACATGGAGAATGAGAAAAAGTTTAATGTGAATGTCTTTTGTGATTTGCAATTGTGAAGCAGTATTTCATGGTACTATGGTTATGAGGATCACCTGAAAGCTTAGGAACAATTCTGTGGTAACAGCTGTCATGCTTATTTTAAATTACAATTAAATTTGTCCATTCCATCATAGGATTTAGTGTGTCTGTGTGGACAGCTGTTTAAAGAAGTAGCATAGCATCATTTGAACTACAGAAGTGTGTTTTCTACTTAGGAAACTGCTTCAATTTGTTATTTCACATTCTCATTATTGTGAGATGGAAATGGAGGTTTTTCTTACAATTATTAAGTACTTTCCTACCTTAAGAGTTGCAAGACAAACTGCTTCTATGAATGAAATTGAGAGACACATATCAGTTATAGCAAGTATTTACAATGCAAGGTAGACAATAACCGTTTTTTCCTGTAGTAAGGGAAACATCATTGAATGAGGTATGGGAGTTCATCAGATTGCTGCAGTTCTGTGCTTTGGTGTAAAGTGTGGTAAGTGGTATAAGTTTCAGAGCCAGGGTGTTCAACACTGTGGTCAAATAGTACAATAAATATAGAGGAATATAATTTGCATCTAACATCTTTCAGCGTAAGCTTGGCAAATGTAATTCTCGCCCCTAGGGAATGGTGTGCTCAGAGAGACTTTTAAAGCACCTAGCAAAACATCTATATTTTTATTTCTATAGACTTGACAGTGGTGGCGCTTTGCTGTACATATTCTCATGGGTTTCTCACTGTATTTCTTACTATCTCAGTATTCTATGATTGTTCCTTATCAGAGGAGGAAAGAGAGACACATCGTTTTTTAGCAGGGCTTTTAGGGAAAAGGATAATGACAGCACTAACTTCCTGTACATGGAGTAGTATAACTTTTCTTGGCTTTTCTAAAAATTTACAGTCCATTTTCTACAGGTATCTTTAAAGTAGCTAGAGAATAAAAAGAGGATTTCCAGGGGGAATTTGAAGGGCATACGTGCTTCTATTCTGTATTGTATTGTTCAGTGTTTCTGCTCTGATTTCTGGTATGTGGTACTCTGAATTGACTGCTGCCTAAACTTCTTTTTTAACAAAGAATGACTACAGTCATACCCACCAATGTAAGATGCTGCTCACTAATGGTCTAATCCATTAAAATATCCTTCTCTGTATAGTTGCTGACAATCCAGATAAAGAAATCTCTATCTTTAGCCTCCCACAAGCTACGGTGTCAGACTGCTGCCTCTATTCCCTACCTTCTAGTTTTCTCATCTTATTTTTCTGATTGCTCTCCATCCCAATTTTGTAAAAGTAATAGGTTAAAAAATCTTAAATGCTAACTTTTCTTCCTTTTCTTATTTGTTTTGTATAATCCTTATTATATTATAAAATGATGTTAGGGAGAAAGCATATGAGCAGAGGTGAGTGGACAGCAATCTTCATAAGATGCAAAGGCTAGCAGGGTGAAGAAATTGATAACTAGATTAACCACACATCAGATCAATTATTTGACTGTACTGTAACCGTTGTTTGTTATAATTTAGGTACCCTCTACTGTCTGTTATGATTCCAGCCCACCTCTCACTGCTCTTTTGGCAGTCGTAGCTCTGGTTTCTGGATAGAAACCCATGTAGCAGATGATGATTGGAATAGGGATGAAAAGCAAAAGGGATGGAGGAGTGAGCAAGAGGGGAGAAAGAGGTCTGAGGGAGAGAATGAATCACGCTGATTCAAGTGAAGGAGGACAAACAAGGAGGATGAAACAGCAGGGAGAGAAACCACATGAAGTCTTTAACCTGTAATGAATCAGTTATTCCACACCATGGAAAATACCAGAAATGTCATTACATTGCTATGCAAGTCAAAATGTCTTTCAGAGATTGCTCTGGGGGGAGAGGAAGAAGTCCACCGTGATCTAAGAGTAATGTGATTTCATGCAACTACTTGCGTGTCAGCTTAATTTAAGGTAAATGCCTCTCAAAGTACTGGAGAAAACTACCTAATGAAATTAAAATATTTTTTTGTGAATACTGGAAGAGGAATACATTCTAAAACTTAGCTGTAATTGACGAATAAATCTCTCAGTGCCTCGCATGTTAATATGCAGGCAGTTTAATTAAAACTATATAAATTTTTTTTTTGAGATTTCAAGGTGGATTATGGGTATTGCACCAAAATAAGGGTTCTTAATATCTTGTTTGGATATCCAAAATTCAATTACTATTGGCATTCATTAGAAAAATAATGAAAACAAAGCAGAAAGAACTTAGATCTTTAAAAATTAAGAGATAACCATTAGAATCCTTTTGTAATATTCACATTATTCAGTTTTTTGAAAATGCTTGCCAATATATTTTTCTAGCTAAGGATATTCATAATAGATTAGAAGAGAGAAATGAGCACATTAAAAGTATCTCTCTATATAAATGAAGAGATGTATGTATAATATATACTGTGTAATATGTATAATTATCTATAATAATACATATACATATACAAATACCAGTCCTTCTAAGATATTGCAGAACTGTACATGAGCCATGATAATACTGGGAGGATGTTACAGAATTGTTACAAGAAAGACGTATACCTCCTGTAGCAAGATGGTTAAAGAAGGTGGTTTACTGGAAAATGGTAGTCTACAATCCTGTTATAGTGCAGTAGACGGAAGCACATAGGCATTTCAATACAAAGCAGTGAAATGGTGATTTATCTGATAAAACATGCATGTAAATTTTCACGTACTGAAAAATACCATTTCTGACACAGTTTTGTCTGTGTATGTATGAGGCATGGTTGTTTTTTTTTTCTTACTTGAAAGTTGTAAAAGATTTACAGCTATTGCTAACACACAAGGCATGATGATAGCCTGAATTACCCTAGGTAAAGATAATGTGCAATTTATTGATTTTTTTTTTTTTTTAATCTTTTTTATTTAGGGAAAGAGCAGTGCTAGACTACAGAAATTACATACAACATTTTCTAGACACTGAGGTTTTGTTTACCAATATCTCTTCATTCACTTAAAAAGCCCCCCAAAACCAAAACACAACAAAAACCCCAAACACCTCAAAATCCTTCACTCTAAATTCATAAGTAAAACCTTCAAGAAAACATGTTCAGTGATGGCTTTCTCACCCTGCAGTGTTTCTGAATAAAGTTTTCATTTTTCTGTGCTGTCTGTCCTTCTGTGATATTTATGGAATTTGTGTGGAATATGGTATGGAAGATGATTGGGTAAATGGCTGATAATAAGTTCTCTTTTACTTTCTTTTTTTTTTCTTCCTCCAAAAATGGGAAGAGTGATTTTTGCAATGAATATTACAAAATATTCAGTAAATAACATTTTATTATTATTTTTATTTTATTATTATTATTATTATTTTGAATCTAATTTTTTGGAGAAAGATTTTCAGTTAATTTTTTAAGAACTGCATATAACAGAAGGCTTGCCCAAAAGTTCCATAGGAATTTAAATACATTATAAGATCAAGTTCTTATTCCCAGTTTTTCTATGGATTTTCAAAGAAATGAAACTAATCTATACTCTGCCAACTGCCTAAGAGATAAACTAATTCCCATAGGTTATGAGCATTTGGCTTTGCTTTTCTTGTATCTATTGGAACTGCCATGCAAGTCACCTACAGTTTTAATCCACATCTGTATACATATTTCATCTTTCATTTATGAAATGCATTCTGTTGTGTCATGAGAACCAAGTTAATACTGCTGTTATAGCCCATAACCACTTCTCAAGAATAAAATATCTTGAATAAGTATAAACAAGGGTAATAGCCTCTTGGGATGTTTGGGTTATATTGCAAGTGAAATGCTATAATGCAATTCCTGTCTATTGTAGCTACTGGTTTCACTATTCAGTCTCAGTGTGTGTGGTAATGCATGCTTTATATAGTTAAATAATAGGACATAGTATTAAAAAGTACGTTTATGGTGGTGAGCTAACACATAGTTGTGCTGATCTTTTAGTTTAGGATCTATCTCTGTTCTAAAATTTTGGGACAGATTTCTGCAGCTGTTTAGTCTTGAAAGATGTAAATACCCCTCTAGCAACATTCTCCAAAGCTTATATATGTCTAACTACCTCATTGAGCATTGGGCATGTTTTTATTCTACTTACCAGCTCTGTAAACTGTCAGGTATGCATCTAGTTTTAATTGTCACCTAAATGCTTTTCAGTGGCAAATATGCATTGAATTTAAAGAAAAAGAAAAAAAAAATGAATGCCTGTACTGGAAAATAGATGCAATATGAATTTCACGGGTGTGAAGCATACACAGATTTGTTTGATATTGGTGGCAGCTGAGGTTCCTCAGCATCTCTAAAAATGAAGCAAAAGAACAGTTACCATGGAAATAATATTTTTGTAAGTGCTAACTTAGGTGGAAGACAGGTCAAGATAAAATGTTTCAGAAAAAGAAGATATTTTTCCTTTCTGGAATATTTTCTTTTTAAGTCAATTTCAGGCCTAGTTTAATCCTTTTGTGTAGTTTGAGTTGGAAAAGAAACTGTTTGCACTAATCACAATTAGTCCGTATGTCCAGGTAGTGTTCAGTCTAGTCTGGAAGCGCACCTATTTTAAAAGCAAATGGTACATGTAGTTTCTTAGTTAAAGACAAGATATCACGAAATTAACTAGAAATGCAAAATTGAAGGAATATACACTGTAAATGGTGATGTTGAGCTGCATTTCTAATTAATTGTGGTTTTATATATACACAGATAAAACATCATTCTAAATTGTGTAGAGCATCATATTTGCATGAAATGTTGCGAGTACTTTTTATAGAGGTGTAAATTGCTCAGAGTGAAAATGGGAAAAAAAACCCACATAATCTAAAATCTTGGTAACACAGAATACTGATATTACTGTTACTTTATGTTATTTCAGTTATGTTTGTGTTCTGTATTTGTTAAAGGGAAAAAAAAAGTCATGTGAACCATATTAAAGAATTATTTGTTAGGTGTGTATCTCAGGCTTTGTCTTTATCAGCTGATAGAGCAGATGACAGAGGTATTCCTTCGTACAGGAGGCACCTAGAAACTCATGTCCAATTTGCAGTCAGTGAGACTGTAAAGTAACTGCTGTCCAGCCCTCCTGTGAGCTGTGTCTGCCAGAAGCACTTCCTTTTGCTTTCGTTAGACTGCTGAGTGTCAAGGGTTACATTAGCATTTTAGATTTAATCTGTTAGTACCACCCAGTGTTGAATTACAGTCTACTATAGAATTTTAGCTGTTTTGGCAAGAACGGCCTGTAAATTACAAAGCTGTTGTCACTAACAGTGAGAACATTTCTGGGATGGCCAACTAAGTATAGAAAGTCCCATTTCTGTTGGCTTTTTTTTTTTTTCCCTCCCAAACTAGTAAGCTCTATTTTGAGTAAGCTTATGATAGCATCGCAGAGGATGTGCCTTGATTTCTTCAGTAGCTGGGCTTCTGTTTAGAGAGGTTTCAACCTGGTTGAGTTGACAGTACTGCTAGTTCAGCTTGCTTGCTTGCAGCAGAGTCCGTAAATAATCCAGCAAGTTCCCTGATGATGAAATGGAGTCAGAGTCAAGCTGTAGGCAGTATGAGCCATCAGGAGGTTTGAGGTTGATTAGAAAGCAACCCACAAGGTGAATGTGAAATGATGAATGTACCAATAACACATCTGTATTGCAGGAAGGAAGTACAAGGTGGAGTTTACTTCCCTTACATCCCCATTTTGCAATCTTATTTTCTTACTAAGGTAACTCGCTAGTTTGTGAGAGCTTGCAAGGGAACTAGGACACTTGTAGTTATGGGTGACAACAGGGGTCAGCCAGGAATCTGGAATGTGCTAGGTACTGCAAAATTGTCAATAGAGATTCATATACAAAATACCAGAGAGATCCAAGAGCATCAAAGAGTACAGGAATACAGATTTGGAGACTCCTTTCTTTTACAAGGAACGACATGGAACTGACAAGGGGTACAAGTTACTACCAGGGAAGTTCCAGTTGTTCAGAAGAGGAGATTTTTTTCACAGTGAGAAAAATCATTGTATTATCTTCCCAAGGAAGTGGTGGATTCTTTAGTGTCGGCTGGACAGCATTCTGGGACATCTGTCCAAGACAATGCTTTGCCAAGAAAGGCTGGATCAGATGATTCTTGAGGTCCCTTTCAACTTGGTATTATATGATTCTGTGATGCACCATTTTCATGAAATCAGTTCTTTGTTCTTTGAGCAACTTGCTTCTGCCATCAGCCAGCTTCCTAGAACTTGGCAGCTCAGCATGCAGCAGGCAGGTATGGACTTCTTCCAGGATTTACTTATACCACGAGATTAATCCCACATGTTGTGAGAAGGAAGACAAGGATGCATCTTGTTGTATACACATTGTGGTGTGTTCTTCACCCATAATAAGGAGCTAAAACTTTAGCCTTTATTTGCTTACCCTGTCAGGATAGCCTATTTGGGCAGATGCAGAGGAGACCAGTGGAAACTTCAACTCCTGTTAATAGAGATGGAGTCCCATTCCTCAAACACTCCTCATGCAAACTCATGATTGTAAAAGGAAGGTGCCAAATTCTTCCCTTCTCTCCAGCTGACCCCAAAATCTGCCACTTTCTTTCTTTTCATTAGGCTTTTTGAGGTTCCTTTGTCACTTGCAGGAAAAGCCATTTGAATAATGTTTTACAATGCATCTATTAATCAGCTCCCTTTTCTTTCATAAAGAGAAGTAAACATGACTGAAAATGGATTCAGCTTGCATCTTAAAGAGCAAAGGCTTTGAGGGATCCCGCTACTTAGATGCAGCGTACATAATGTGACAGAGAGGTTGCAGTAATTAGTGTTCTCTTTCATTAAATATGTAACTTGGTGAGATTGTTTCCTTTTTCTTAGAAAAAGCTCATAGCCTGTAATGAAGACCATTTGTATGACACAAAATATTTAAATAGTGCTTCAGTAAAGTGGGTGAGGATATCATTCCTGACTGGAATATTTTGCTTTCTTTGAATCATAGAATAGAATTGTAGAATAGTTAGGGTTGGAAAGGAGCTTAAGATCATCAAGTTCCAGCCCCCCTGCCGTGGGCAGGGACACCTTACGCTAAATCATATCACCCAAGGCCTCGTCCAACCTGGTCTTGAACACTGCCAGGGATGGAGCATTCACAACCTCCCTGGGCAACCCATTACAGTGCCTCACCACCCTAACAGGAAAGAATTTCCTCCTTATATCCAATCTAAACTTCCCCTGTTTAAGTTTTAACCCGTTACCCTTTGTCCTGTCACTACAGTCCCTAATGAAGAGTCCCTCTCCAGCATCCCTATAGGCCCCCTTCAAATACTGGAAGGCTGCTATGAGGTCTCCACACAGCCTTCTCTTCTCCAGGCTGAACAGCCCCAACTTCCTCAGCACAGGACAAAACTCCCCAGGCACAATGGGGAAGTGAGACTGGTAGAAGGCACATGGGAAGCACCAGTTAAGGCACAGGTGTGTGCTCCTGGCTAGTCCTGTTACCTTACCTTAGCATCTGACCCATCCTGATAATGACAGGTTACTCTGTGGACTAAAGAGTGAGCCCTCAGCAGGCACGTGCATATTTGCTCATTGTTGATGGTATTCAGGATCTTTTGGGGTCCTGACTTCTGTTACTCTGCCTTACCCACCCCTGCTAGAGCCTATCATATGGATTTAAAATAAGGGTGTAGTAGGGAGCATAGTTAGAACAGAGCAGCATTATATGACCAGTTCACCTCAGGGAGGAAGGGGAGATGATCTGATGGAGCTGTTTATGAAGAGCAGGATTCTTATTTCATGCTGCAAATGTATAAAATAGATTTAGGAGGAAAGGTGGTTAGAGCAGTAAAAAGATTTGGACATCCTGAAACAGAAAAAAGACAAGTTTAGAGGAATTAATCTGTGAAAAATAATTAGCTGTTAAGTTCTTAGGAAAATGCTTTTCTCCATCACTTTTATCATTCTCTATTTTGTTTTTAACTGTACCTGTAAGCAACATGCTATTTTTATGCTATAAAGTGCATGTTTCTTCCCAGAACAGTAGCATGAAACTGCCTCTGGAGTAGAAGTACTGTGGCTGTTTCTTAGAAATGAGGCTTCTTTTTCCACTGCTAGTTATTCTGTCGTGTCTAAAATTAATTCTGGCACAGTTCTGATTTATACTCTCTTTTGGAGAGGGGGGTGTGGTAAGCTCAGTTTTGGGTAAATAAGTTGAGTAAAATAAGAATACATCAAATGATAAGCAACATGAAACAGTAACTCTAATTAGTATTTATTTTACAGAGTATTCTATTTAATTGCAACTGGAGAGAAAGACTGCTTTGCAGCCATAAATTGCAGCCTTCCTCAGTTATCCTGGTACTCTTCAAAAAAAGATCTTCAAAAATTGTTCTTTTTGGCTATGAAAATTTTATCAGAATATTTCTGTAGTACTTTGTACCTTTAATAAGAGTATTTAAAACAAAAAAATCAACACTATTAATACAAAATAAAAAGTCTTGCAGGACTACAATTAGAGTTTTGCAGTTTTGCTTTCCAATGTGTACTAATGTCTCTTAATCATTGTGTACGGACTTGCTGTTAAGTGCTTAAACTTGGGAATTCCTATGCAGAAAGTCTGTAAGTTTCTGTCATTGTTGCATGTTCTATCATAGTAAAGGCAAAGATTTTCAATTAACAGACATGATTTGCTTTTCTTATAATGCGTTTATCCTTCTATGTAAAGAATTTTAAAGCAGCTTTACCTAGATCGTTCTTCAATCAGTTAATTCAGTAGACATCTAATTAAAAAATAAAACAAAACAAAACAAAAACCCAACAAACCGAATTACAAACATAAACACAACCTCAGTTTATGTAGAAACAACGTAAGCAATAGCCTGGGGTTCCTCTGTTAGAGTATAATAGAAATGCCCAGCAGATTTCAGGAGCATAAATTTCAATGGAAGACTCAAGCATATGCAGAGTAACATCTTCAAAATGTATTAAGTAATTCAGTCTTGAAATATAACAAAAATAATGCTTTGATGCAAATCCTGTTGCATTCATGAGATTTTACATAGTCTTTTGAAAACTTGACTTTCATTTGTTTCTGTGTGAAGCAGGAGATTTAAGGTAGAAATTTACCCCAAGCCCAGACTGGGATTCAAATTATCTGCAAGATACAATTTGTTTGAAGTGGGGGCTCTCCAGTAAATCCAATAAATTAGTATTTTTCTCTCTCTGATTTCCAATGCATTGCAGTAATACTTTATTAGTTTTCAGCAGTTCCCAAGAACTTTCAGTGGATTTTCATTCAGAGTATAAATTATTGTAGCACTTCTGGAATATATAGGGGTGGGCTAAGCTTGTGATATTTAAGAAAAAAAATCTGTAGCATTAGAAAAAAATGAAACAACTGCTTTTTCTCTGGCATCTTGTGTTTCCCAATGTCCAGTACATTAGTCTAGGAAATAATAAGAGCTTTATAGTTGAGGAGTTCATTCTACTATATCGGTCACAGGCACACTGGAATCTTGAATTAAGAGTATCAAAGCATTTGTCAGATCACTGCAGGATAAAATGCTTATACAATGGAGGTATATCAGGCATCCTGTTTCCCCAGGCAGATTTCTTTCTTGCTGCATTTTGGTCCTACTGCAAGATCTGTAAAAGCAGTGCTGGCAAATCTGCAAAGAATTACTATGATCTGGGTGCAACAAAAAACAACCAGGCTGTAACAAAACATTTTCTAAATCCTCTGAATTTGAGCAACATTTAATCCTTGTTACTTCTGTAAGATGACATCAAGCTGCTTTAAAATGCAGCTGCAATGACTTAGTGGGTGATAATGTTGGAATGGGTGCATTTGTTTTTGAGTCATCACATAACAGAATGAGGCAGGTTTTAGGCAATAATAATGGCAGTCACTGAGAATCTTCAGATTTTTCTGGACTAGCATTTCCCTCTATATCTTTTCCAGGAGAAAGGTGCATGTGTGACTTGATTTGTTTGAGCTGCTACATTGCCATGGAACCTCCCTGTCCTTTTTCCAGCCCTACACATAAAATAGAAACTGATACTGAAAATCCACGGAGGAGACTTTCCTAAAACCAACAGCAATGAAGAGCTGTGTAACAGACTTGAAGCTTGCCTGTCAAAATGCTATTTTTTATTTTTTTTTTTGGGGGGGGGGGGGTGTTGATCATTTTCACATTACAAACTTTTGGTCAGTTCTATTTTGGTTCATTGTCTATTACAAAATTTTGTTTCTAATTATATTTTATATTTCCAAGACACTCTACAAAGCCAGAATTATTTGATACTAAAGTGAAAATACAATGTCTTGCTGTCACTTGCATCTGTGAAGATGGAGAAATCTGTATGCAAATTACCATGAATAGATTCAAGGAGCAGCCTGTACATAGAAAAGGAAAGCATAAACAAAAAGAGATTAGAGCCTTGTGGCATATTCTTGATTTGTAAAAATTGTTTTAATGAAGTGCATGAAAATTAAAATTATTGAATTCATACTTAGACAAAACCAGCAAATTCAGTTTTCAGTGATTAACCGTTGCAAGGTAGACTATTGTTATTATCTGCAGAGCTTGAATGATTCAAAGCCTTATCTAAACTGACCAGGAAGGCAGTTTCTGAAGCACAGGCATGATACCTGGTCTTGGATAAATTACAGAGAAGAGACTGCACCTCATCTGTTACTGTATATGTGGAAAACTCAAAGCCTGAATATTTGGAGATGAATTTTATCTCCTTAGTTTTCATAGAATCATTTTTTTTATTAAAAATGTTCTTAATGTTTGTTTTTTTGAGGTGCTATTTTGTTGCTGTTTGGTTTTGGTTGGTTTTTTTTTTTGTTTTTGTTTGTTAGCACCATTTTGTTTTTAGCACCATTTAGAGAACTAGCTTTGGAGCTTTTTTACAAATTCTAGTTTTTCCACACTTGATTGCTTAATGTAATTTTTGGTTTTCCCCCTTCCTTCCCACCCAGGTTTTTGATAAGCAAATAAAATGTTAAAATACTGCTCCCAGTGTGCAGGGATTGGCATGGGGATGGTCTCCCCAGGGAGCACATAGTGTTTTGAACCCTTACTGAATGTAGTTCTAAAGTTGCTACTGAAATACAGACAGCATATTGTATAGTATGTTATCAGCAGCTTTGTCATCATTACCTAAAGGGTATTACAGCAAACCAAAAAAGCCATTTATATCTTTATGGAAGGAGACTGCAACACATTTTGTGTAAATGTCTATGGGTTAATGAAAGCTTAATTATAGCAAATGAAGAGCACATTTGCAGCCTTCACTGGAGGAAACTAATTAGAAATGGCCAGCCAGAGGAGGCTATAAAGGAACAATCTATAGTGTTAAAGTGGGGAAAATGGCTCATTTTTCTTTTTAAAAAGAGCAAAAAGCAAAAAAGTTATGTTAGTGTTGGAAGTTACATTCTGGTAAGATGATAGATTCTGTTTTCAAGTTTTAAAAGTGACAGCATGATCTAAGAGGTCCCATTTACTTTCTAATCTTGACCTAAAGCTTTCAGTTTAGCAGGTGTATCAGTGACCCATAGTGATCTAATTTAAGTGTTATTAGAATTACAGCATTGTAATGTGAGGGTATAAATAATACAAGAAAGGGAACAATTACAACAATTAACCATGGCATGCACCACAGAAAAAACACACTGCAGCAACTTAGAATTCATTTAAAGTAGCAGAGAAATTATCGAGTTGTCAAAACCTAGTGCTGTAGTGTTGCAAAGGAGAAGAAAGCTTGATAGTATTAGAAGAATGAGACTAAAGAGAAACTTTTTGTGACCAGAGAGGCATACAAAAATAAAAGGAACTTATTAGGCAAGAATAAAGTTAAAAGTATGTGAAAAATGCAATATTTTCTTAGACTTGAGTAAGTAATAACGTGTAGATACTGAATTAAAGACCTCTTGATACAAAGGTGAGACTATATAAGCCAACTGTAATGGAAGATTGCCAGTGAGTGACATCCCTAGTGACTGACAGTGCAGTAAATGTAAATACTGTTTGAAAAGAACATATCCCTGTGAGAATAAGAATTACGTATTAATGGAGAGGTGGCAAACAAAGCAAGAAATCTCACAGACTTGTAGGTTTAGGTTGGTTTTGTTTCTTGTTTCTGTTGCAAGACAACTTTTAGTGACCAGATATTAACTAAAGTCAGACTGGTACCATGCTAATGATGAGGAAAGACAGGCAAAAACTAAAATTGCCCACATCACCTTGACATATTTGATAGGTCTGGAGATAGATCAGTACTAACTCAAAGGGTGAAGCCTCCATCTTTTCTTTTCCATTTTTTCTTTTTCTCCATCTTTTCCTTTTCTTTCTTTTTTCTTCTTTTCTCCACCTTTTTCTTTTCTGAAGCCTCATCTTTTCTTGGATGACCATTTCCAAATGTTCATCCTCCATATTGCTGGATGACCAGTATGATAAGTACATGAGTATTTCAAAAGGTGTAATTTTTCTCAGAATTAGTGAGTTCCTTAGTGCATGGTTCTTGTACCTATTTTAACCAGGTCTTAATAACAGAATGATTAAAAAATTGCTCGTGTCCTAGTTGAGGTTGTGTCACGCTTTCCCCTCTGCCCTTTTCATTAAGTTAGAATTGCACTGAGCCAGCTTGGCAGCAGGAAGGCACAGGGAACAGATCAGTGTGTTTGAACAGATAATAGAAAAACATGTGCAAATGAAGTGTGCTCCAAAGGCATATTAAGCATTGCAAACAAAGCTGCTGTTTTGGGACTAGGATAAGGACAAAATAAAAATTAATACAGTAATAAGCTGTTCCAGTGAGTTCACTGTCTATTCACTTCACATTCCAGTGAAGTCTGCGGAATGTGGCTGGTTTATACCCTGTGGAAATACATTACGTGGTACCTTATACAGCAAGAAAACCATGATGTAGATTGTATATTCAATACATGAGTCAAGAAATGTAAGGACAGATATTTATACCCTTATATTATGAATAAGGGTAGAAAAGACATAGAACCAGACTGTGTGGCAGGGGCGAGAAGGGCACAATGCGGAATACTCAGCTGCAGAGGCTGATGTGTTTTCATCATGTGATTATTAGTGCTAGATTCAGAGGCTGCTGTTATTCACTCATGGAATACCATCACCCAAGACTACCACACACTTTTTACACTCCCTAAATACAAAGTGGGATATAAACTTACTGGACAAATAGCTGTTTGGCCAGACTCTACATTTCCTTAGCACTTGAAAAAGAGAAGATATATATGTGGAGTTTTGTAAGTTTTATTGAAATGAGGTGAGCTAGACTTTAGTCCATAATAATATCTAAAAATTAACAAAGCTGATAACCAGAAGTCGGAGACACATCATTGCAGGCGGACTACTTGAGTGTGCTAGAAGGCGTTTATATATTTAATTGTTTTTATGGTTTCAGGTATGAAAGCAATAAGCTTTATTGTCTCTTCAGATACTCCTAGTAAGGTCACAGTGCCGTAAATTATGTAAGATTCTTTCACTGATGTTTCCCTCCTGTTTTCTCTA